GGGGCTCGGCTATCTTCGGCTCCGCTCGGCTCTCTTCGGCTCCGCTCGTGACGTCACCGCGCATAGCTGCCAGGATGCGGGGTGATTACTCGCCTATTACGCGAGCGTTACGTTACCGCTGAGGGGTGGGAGGGGAGCGCTGACTCACCCGCCGCGTCACTGCTGGTGTGGGGGGGGGGCTCGGCTTTGCGCAACATGTCACAATATCTTTAGACATTTCTTCTTCAATGTTATACACTCTTGCACCGCTATTCTTGGTGAGGTGTCTTCTGCTCTGCCAGGAGCTCAATTGTCCTTAGCTCTCATTGGATACAAACTCTACTGGTGTCTTCTCGAAGTTGGACTGTTATATATTGCACTCGGACTGAATAGGGTACACCCTGTCGAAGGGTTAATTTTGCCCCCTGCTATGCAATGTATCAATTGTTGCAACGGGAATACGTGTCTGCCTCAAACAATTCGTTTGTAATTGTGGAAACCCCACTGTTACACTTTCATCTTCAGGGCAACAATTTCCTAGGCATCGCTGGTTAGGAACTGCTAACCACTGACTAGTGATGGACGTCTTATTGTCCAGCTTTCAGGCAGCACGTCACAATATTATACTCCTATTTATGCTTATGTCTCCCAAGTGGTTTCTTCCCTTCAAATTTGCCAACCAAAATTTTGTATGCATTTCTCATACCACCTATCTAACAAATATCTAACCTGTTCTGAATCACCCTCAGCCTATTCTCTTCCACGCCTATGGAAACAAGAGGCTGTTACCACTACCATATACTTACTGCAAGTATAGCGTTCCCATCCCCTACAGCAATAGCTGCATCTAACAACTCCGTCTTGCTTTCCCACGACCGATACAGTTCCAAGGAATACGGATGACCAAGCAATATCTTGGTGATAGTATCACTGACTGGAGGAGGTACCCAGCGATTCTGAAAGTACAATTAACATTCACCAAATCATCAATGCGAACACATTTCTGTTAACTTCTTCTGGGACTGCAGCTGTTGAAAAAATAGAGATTAATTAGAAACTCATAATACTGCTCTTCTGAACACAGAATCACAGCAAAGTACACTTTCTTGTACACACAAACTGTCAACACAATGATTCTGTTTTACTACGTGTATGTTAAATCTGTTGATCTAATAAGATACAGTCTGAAGAAATACTAAGGGTTAACATTTCATTAATCACTGACAGAGTCCACAATTAATCATTTTATGTATTCAAGCATGTACCGAGTTCACAGTAGGATATGGCACCATACACTGGTACATTTCACAATTCAGTGCCATTATATAATTAACTCCAAGGCTTTAGTTCACAGTCTAACTATACTGACTGAGTGACCTCCAAGTGTTGCGAAGTTAGTGCCAACTTTAGTGGATAGAGGGTGTCACATGGTCAGCGCAACGGATCCCCACAGCTGTTAATCTCGGTTGTCTAGACCGGAGCCACTATTTCCTTGAAATAGCTCCTCAATTACCCCCACGAGGCTGAGTGGACCCCATTCCAGACCCACCACTTCTCAGAAAATATGGTAGCGCCGGGAATCGAACCCGGACCTCTGGATCTGTAGCCAGGAACTCTGACCACTAGATGGTCCTTATATGATTAACTGCTTTAATTAATGATTACTGTCAATCCCATTACAACAAGGATGCAATAGGACAAAAAACAGCAGAAGCAGCAATTCAATGTCATTAAAAATGGTGACCTAGCAACTGTGATATATCAAGCCCTGATATGCAGACACATTCCTACCCAAGAAGTCACCAGTGAGTCTATAACACCTATTCACTACAACAATCAAGAGAAAGACTGACTTCCTGAAGTATAAACAAGCATTAAGTACATCGTGAAGGAACACATAATCCTACTTACAGAGGCCTCAGGAAAACTGAATTTCTGTCTCATATTTTTGAAGAAGGTACATGCCAAATTCCATCAATCAATTACCTCAACCTGGCGTCGTAATATTCTCACTTCTTCCTCTGGATTCAGTTTACCTTTTGGTTGTTTCTCGCGGAAATTCCCAGCTTCCAGAACTACAACAAAATATACATGGCTGTGTATTTTACAGAGTTAAACAGACACTTATTACTAAACAGGGCGTTTATAGTTTTCAAGCTCCCAAGTCTGCTGACATTCCATCTCCCTGTCCCATATTTCTGCATGGCTTACTCCTATAATACAGGGTGACATGCCCCATGATTGGCATCCCTACACTTACTCTCACTTTGTAACATATATGTTGCACCACGGCCCCTTCTCATTGGATAGCACGAAGCTCCACAGTCCAACCCTTACTTCCACTGCAAGACCTATATACTGGGCTGCATCCTCCTTCCATCTCATTCACCCTGAAGATGGCACTGTATGCCAAAGTGTTTGAACAATTTCAACACATCACACAACTACACCTCAAAAGCTGAAATTATATGTTAGCTATAAAAGTAAAAGTAAAGCTATCCCTGTTAACAGGCTGTGGAGGCCCATAGGGTTGTGAGAGGTTCAGGCTCCCACATTTTCTAGATAATCGGCTTACAGATGGCAGTAAGTCTGTCAGCCTTACGCGCTGGCTGCACCTTTACCCCCATGAAGATTCCTGATACTCATTTCTGTTAGAGGCTGAGTTGACCCCAGGGCCATAGTGCGGCTGGAAGGATTAGGTAAATTGAAAAAATCCAACTCATTGGGATTCGATCCTATGACCTTCTGGCTTGTAGCATAGTGCCTCAACCATTTATGCTACCGCGTGCCCCAACATGTTGGATATAGCGCATGAAAACTTGAGCAAGAGAATATTTCATATCCACTTACTGCACAGAAGACTCTTTTCTGAAATGAGGCTGTGCAGAGGTCTTGTTGCCGGTTGTGACGAATCTGAAATAGTTGCTTTTGATAGGCAACCTGTAAAGAATACAATGTGCATCACAAGATATAATTTTCTATCATCTGAGATAACATTATGGAAAGTTTTTGGAAACTCAGAAATTATGGGTGATCTTTACATAAATTCCGGGATTTTGTGTCCTCCCACACAAAGCATCAAAATATACTGAAACAAATACACTGTTACTACTAAATGAATATGGGATTGGGAAATACCTCTGAAGAGATGGATGGGTCAACTATAAATGTTTGACCCAAAACCAAGCAAAAAATTTAAACCATAACACTGACGATCACTGCTACCATATTATTCGAAAATCGAACACATGATGCCTGCAATCCATTTTGCCTCAATCTGTGCAAAGTTTGTTCCTCCATCCAAGGAATTTACATATGGTGGACTGAAGAGAGATGAAGTGACAGGAGGTTGGAGAAAACTGCATAATGAGGAGGTTCATAACCTTTTCTCTTCTCTAGGTATAATTAGAATGATAAGTCAAGGAGGCAGGGCATGCAGCACGAATGGGGGAGACGAGGAATGCATATAGGATATTGGTGGGAAAGCCAGAAGGAAAGAGACCACTGGGAAGACAAAGGCATAGGTGGGTGGACAATATTAAAATGGATCTTAAGAGAGATAGGATGGGATGGATTTGATTGATGTGGCTCAGGGCAGGGACCGCTGGAGAGCTCTTGTGAACACGGTAATGAAACTTCGGGTTCCATAAAATGCTGGGAAATTCTTGAGTAGCTGCAGATTTGGTTTCTCCTCAATAAGGGCTCAGCTCCATAATAGCATATATAAAAATTGTATCATTCATTCTACTAATACTTTGTTATGGCAGAATGACTGTAAACATACTTCGTACTTTACTTGGCTCCTGCAGTATCAGTAAATAAACACATACCAAATCTTGGCTCAACGGACACTTGCCAAATGAAGTTGAACAAGAAGAGTGTGGTCTTCTGGGTTGTAATGTCATGTAGTTCAGCCAGAAACATATGGCCACCATCTTCATGGTCGAAGAATAAGACAAGCAAGAAACCAGAAGAAGCAGGCGGTAAGATGAGCTGCTCATTTGTTACTTTCTTACTTGTCTTACTCTTCAACTCTATAAAGAAGGATATGTTCCTCTGAAACATCATGCTCTCTCCTAACCACATAGTGTGAAATACTGGGGATCCTTGACTGGACTCAGGCAAGCAAAGGGAGTCATACCAGGTCCTTCCACTAAAAGAGCGAAGGAACTGTTGAAGTTAAACAGGAACTAGCTACGATGGGTAGTGGGGCTACTTACAGGACACTGTCACCTTAAAGGACACCTCTTCAAACTGGGACTAAGTAACAGTCCCACTTGTGAGAGGTGTCAAGAAGAAAATGAAACAGCCACACATATCCTGTGTGAATGTGAGGCCTTAGCTTATTTAAGATTTGGTCAATACTTTATGGAACCAAGTGACTATTCCGATGTCCCAACGTACAAAATCCTGCACTTCATTCGAAGTGCAGGATTGCTGAGGGGATAATCAGAAGGGAAGCACAATAGATCACTGTAGGTCGCAGTGCAAGGGCTGAGAAGGCCCACACCTTATACATCCATTCATTCAACTACATAGCATTATGACCCAGAGTATTGTATTCTTCAGTCACTGCTATGAAAAAAATGATTAACAAGTCTGTATATAGAGTTTCTCCCTTACTGATTTTCTGTTAGGTGTCAATCATAACATGTAAACAGTATCTTTTGAAGAATACAGTTTGACGTTTTCAGAATGTTCAAAGTACATACTCATACATATTATGTGTCCATTATTCATACACAATAAATATGTTCTGTAACTCGTTAATTAATCAATTTCCCATCAAATCAGTTGATAATCATTTAACTAAAAATCAGCTGAAACAGATCACTGTACACACCAAGTGCCTTCCTGTGTGCAGTACAAAATGTTAATTTCATATCTTTCAATTTTGTGTTGAAACTGAAAACAAGACAAACATCTTGCTTCAGGTCTTGAATGAATGAATGAATGAATGAATGAATGTATGAGGGGCAGGCCTTCTCAGCCCTTGCACCGTGACCTCAGTGGTCTATTGTGCTTCCCCCTTTTTTAATTATTCCCTCAGCAACCCCGCACTTCGGATGAAGTGCAGGATTTTGGACGTGGGGGCGTCAAAATAGTCACTTGGTTCCATAAAGTATTGACCCAAGTGACGTAGTCTTAAATAAGCTAAAGCCTCACATTCACACAGGATGTGTGTGGCTGTTTCATTTTCTTGACACCTCTCACAAGTGGGACTGTCACTTAGTCCCAGATTGAAGAGGTGTGCTTTAAGGTGGCAGTGTCCTGTAAGTAGTCCTACCACCCATCATAGCTAGATCCTGTTTAACTTCAACAGTTCCTTCGCTCTTTTAGCAGCGGGTCCTCATATGAGGCCCTCTGCTTGCCTGAGTCCAGTCAGGGATCCCCAGTATTTCTCGTGCTTCATATTTGTCCAGTCCATGATTGTCTTTCTGGCAACTCCTACAGAGATGCCATAGGCTGGTTCAGGTCCTATGAACGGATGTTCAGCTCCAATTTTAGCTAATTGGTCTGCTGCTTCATTTCCAGCAATACCCTCATGCCCCGGCTCCCATATCAGTTGTACCCTGTCATGTTTGGCCAGTTCCATGAGAGCTTGGTGGCAATTCCAGACCAATTTTGAATTGATCTGGTGTCTGTCAAGCGCTTTAAGTGCAGTTTGGCTGCCAGAGAGAATGTAGATGTTCCTATCTAAATTCTCCATAATACATGCTTTAATGGCATATACTTCTGCCTGGAATACTGTCGTGTACTGCCCAAGGCTGAAACTATTGTATTGTATTGTATTGGAGAGCGTGGGTTTCCCCATGCACTTAGACCAACTGTTGGTCCATTGTGCATCCCCCTATGATATT